TCGCTACTGAGAATGCAAGAAGTCTGGGGCAAAATGTGGAAAGATACATACAATAAATAACACCCGTTTAATATAATTTAAATGTATATCTTACATAATATATCCTATTTAAAATTAATGATGGATGCAATAGCTAAGTGTAAAACATATTGAATGAGTAAAATAATTAGGAAAAAAGAAGAAGAATTAAGGCCTCCATAATGGAAAAAGGATATGAGAGGAGGCGGTAATAATATTCGAGTCAATGGGAAAAGAAGTAGATTGAGGGGCTGGAACAGAGAATTTATGAAGATATATTAAAAATAAAGCGATATATTGTGACCAGATTGTGAAAGAGTTTGGATGTCAGACTATATAATTTTTTTCTCAAGCTTTCTCTTTTCTTTTTTATTCTTTTTCCCAAAGGCCCCCAGTACATAGTTGTATATTCTAGTTGTAGGTCCTTCTGGTTGTGCTATGTGGGATGCCGTCTCAACATGGCCTGATGAGTGGTGCCGTGTCTCCACCCAGGATCCGAACCAGCGAAACCCTGGGCCACCAAAGCAGAGCATGCAGACCCAACCACTCAACTATGGGGCCAGCCCCTCATGCTTTCTTTTTTTCTAAACATGAAAATGAAAGAAATAGAAGAAGGGGAAAAGAAGACAGTAGTAATTTGAGGAGTTGTGACATTAAATAGAGCCCAAGTTGAGGATGATGGGAGCTAATGAAAACACTTAAAGAAACAGCGTTATCCAGTATTCCCAATCCATTATTCCCAATCCTCCTATCTATGAGCCTGGAGTAGTGCTTGTTCTGAATCCACAGGAATATTTTACCTTCCAAAAAAGAAAGAGTTCCATTGATTTAAAATTGATATTCACAAAATTGGCTTGTATTGTTTTCTGGATATTTTAATTTGCTTAGTACTAGTTCATTAAAGCAACTTAAGAATTGGAAGAATAAAAAATTGAACTGTTACGAATGCAGGATGTACTACATTTGAACATGATCTAGCCTCCTCCTACATCCTTCCTTCCATATGATATGATTAGGAAACTGCACCAAAGCTCCTATGATAAAAATACATTTAATTACCAAAATGTTGCTTCAGGAGTAGGGCTCATGGTTTACTTGAGCCTCAACAATAATATCAACAATAATAATGGTCAGAATTACAAGCTATATTGTAAAATATTTCAAACTGAATGATAATGAAATTTTAGCATTATCAAAATTTGTGGCATGCAGTGAAAACAGTGCTTTGAAGGAAATTGATAATGTTAAATGCTTAAATTACAAGAAAAGAATTATCTGATTGCAATGCCTTCCGGTACTACCTTACGAATTTAGAAAAAGAACAAAGCAAATGCAAAGTAAGTAGAAGCAAGGAAATAATAAATATAACAGTAGAAATCAATAAAATAGAAAACAAACAAAAACCTAGAGAAAGTGAAAAAAGCTAAAACGTGATTCCTGGAAAATATTGACAAATTGATTAACCCCTCACTAGACTGATCAAGATAAAAAGAAAAAGCACAAATCCTCGATTTCAGGAATGAAAGAAGGATTATTCCTGCAGATTCTACAGACCAAGGTAAAGAAACTGTTACAAACGAACTTTATGCCCACACGTTCAATGACTTAGATGAAATAGACAAATTCCTTGAAAACTGACACAAGATAAAAATAGAAAATTTGAAGTGCTCTGTCTCTTAAAGAAATTTAATTCAGTAAATTGAATACTGTTATTAATTTAAACAGAGATTTAATTATCAAATATTAAAAAATGGTCACTTTTACATAGTGTCTTTCTCCCTATGGTCATGTAATATGGAAGTGCTATTGTTAAATCAAGAATTGTCTTCAGGGTGGGCTCCGTGGCCGAGTGGTTAAGTTCGCACGCTCCGCTGCAGCGGCCCAGGATTCGATCCTGGGCGCGGACATGGCACCACTCGTCAGGCCACGTTGAGGTGACGTCCCACATCCCACAACTAGAAGGACCTGCAACTAAGATATACAACTGTGTACAGGGGGGGTTTGGGGAGATAAAGCAGGAAAAAAAAAGAAAAAAAAAAGAATTGTCTTCAAAACATGGAAACCGTATGAAAGGAATTAATTGATCTTAATAGCCACGGAAATTGTGCTTCGAGATCCTGATGCACCAACCTCTACTGCAGGTATAGCCTTTTCAAATGAGATAGTTAGGTGGCCTTCCCTCGTGGAAAATCCTTGAATCACACTGGTTCCTCTTTTCTAAACTCTACAGCTCCCTCTCCTTCTTTTTACATACTTTTTTCCAGTCATGTTGATGCCATTGATTAATCATTCATATTCCACCCAGTTTTATAGATCCCTGACTTTGCTCTTCTTGCTTCTCATCCAGGACATACAATGTCTTTTAAAGTCACCTCTACAGATTGCTAAATTCTTGGAACTCTCCCTAAATAAAATAATCATTCTCTTAGTTGATGTGATTCTCAGTCTCTGCTTTTAAGTAACTATACGTACTTTGATAAATTACATAAACTTAGTAGGCTGTCCTTAAGAGATTATTTTTCAAGGCCAGGTACTATATCTCATATTTAAATTACCACAGGGCTTAACACACTATCTAAAACACAGTAGATGCTCCTTACTGTGTATTACTTGATTGATACATATTGATCTTTTCGAAACTCCTGTTTGTCAAATAATTTTTATCTATTCTTTGCCAGGTGTCTAGCTATAAGATTATTATTCTATAGCTGGAATACATTTTAAACCAAGTCATCACAACAATAACAGAGTACATTACAAAAGGTTATTGTGAGAATTGTCCCCTGAATTGATGTTAATGAATGAAAACTAAATACTGCGAGAAATCCAACTGTTTCACATGAAAACATAAGATTGAAATTATGGCTAATTATAGTCACATGAATTTTCTTCTGTTCTTGAATCACATACTTGATTTGTCCACGAAAAGATTCTGCTGTGGCAAAACATTTTTGTCTTGTTAATTCACTAATTTACTAAATAAATATATATGCAGGAATGTGATTTTTTCTTTCTTTCTTTCTTTTGTGAGGAAGGTCAGCCCTGAGCTAACACCTGTTACCAACCTTCCTCTTTTTGCCTGAGGAAGACTGTCCATGAGCTAACATCTGTGCCAGTCTTCCTCTATTTCGTATGTGGGACACCGCCACAGCATGGGTTGATGAGTGGTGTGTAGGTCCACACCCGGGCTCTGAACTCATGAACCACAGGCCTCTGTAGCAGAGGGCACAAACTCAACCACTCTGCCACTGGGCCGGCCCCATGGGCTTTTCTTTCTTTACTTCTATTCCTGATGGCAAGTATCTTCCAAAGCTAACATAACAAATAAATAAATATCAGAAAATAAATATGTATATTTTTATTTATTCCCCCAGAAGATAGTCTCACAAAAATGCTGGACCTCCAGGACATCTCTGCCTTCAGGATCTAATGCTTCCTATTCTCTTATTCAGCAATGAGATTGGACGGAGCAGAGTATGACTGACTACCCATGTTGGAGACAGGATCTCAAGAGGGAGAATTGAAGGAGGAAGGATTGAAGGGTTTGAAGCAGGAAGGGTCAGAGAAGGTTTGAATGTGAGAGTTTGAGAGCACAGTTCCTGCTGAATATACGTGTTGCAGAGCACATGTCCACTCTGGAACCTAGGACAGGCCCAGTGCCCACGAGCAAGCTCAGGAATAAGGTGATAGATGAGTATGAAAAGTCACTCTCAAATCTTCATAACCTGTTGGAATTTTGTATGAGTTGGATTATAAACCCTAGAGACTGAGACAAGAAATCCAATAAACATTTACTGGGATTCCTTGTGCTTGCTTAACCTCTAACCGTAGAATATTTTGTTACTAACTATATCAACTCTCTCTTCAATGATAAGGAGTTGGTTATTATTGTTTTTGTTATTATTTTGTTATTACTAAGCACTGTGATGTGATTAAGGGTTAAATGCCAGGCACATATGGCTACTCAAATATGTGTCAATTACCTGCTTGTTTAAATTTAGTCAGTTACCTTCCTGATTTCAGAGTAACTAGTACCATGCCAATTACATGCATTGTTTTTATTCCTAATGTATTCCTTTTTCATGTTTTGAAGCTCTATGCATAAACATTTTACTATGAAAGGAACACATGCATTCTGATTTCTGAGACATTTGGTTGGAGACTTACTACGATGACCTTCATGAAGTCAATAATTAGTATCTCCTAACTTAAGTAAAAAGAGTTTCATGAAGCATTGGTAATTATAAAATATTCTCCCCATGGCTTCCCTCCTACATCCCCATAAAATGGAGGACATGCCCATCTGATCCAGTGTAAGCATAAAGAATATTTAAATTACTTTGGTTCAGTTCTTCTTGACAAAAATATAAAACAAACAGCACACTTTGTCTCCAAAACCATACAGTCTTTACAATTTGCTATCCTAGGAATAACGCTGTGCAAAAAAAATCTGTAATAAATAATGTATTAATTATATTTTAAGGCTATCCAGGCTTATGAAAGATACAGTGTCTCTCTAAGTCGGAGCTGAAGTTTCTTGGGTAGCAGTTTGAGAGTGATGATTGGGATGTGGCTGCCTCAGCTTCTTTGTAATGGAGATAAAGCTGCAGACAAGTAGCATTTACCCACTGGGGAAACAATGATTTACATAGTGGATACATTATTATAGTTAACTAGAAAATCCTTCTTTTATAGAGGAAGTTAAAACAGACAAAAAACAAAAACAAAATAATTCCACCTAACAGTTACATAGTCATCTCTGGGAGTACAAGCTTACACGAACAGGAATTTTCTGCCTTAGAGTTTTGACAATAAGGATTCTATACAAAGGAAATGCCCTATGTGAGCTGAAAGGTATGTTCTTTTAAAACAATTAATACCTAATTTTTTTGAAGTAAATCAGTCTGGCATCCAAGAGGAGATTGTGAAAAGCAGCTAATGCATCACCACGATAATTCGGAGCTTCATGAAATGTACTAGAAAAAAAAGTCAGATTGCTGTGTTTAGACACAAGCTGAAATTCTGCAGATAAGACAGAACCTATAAAAAGGGAGAGATTAATTAATTACTCAGAGGAGGTGGATGAATGACAGAGCAAACTCCTTGTGAGGCTAAGCGAGAACAGAGTGCAGAGCCCTTTGAAAGCAGGTGGGATCGGACAGGTCGAAGTCTCCATCACTCCTGGAGCAGGACGGAGGCCAGAAAGCGTTTGTGCAGGTAAAAGGGGCTGGGAGATTCAAGGCACTCAGCTGCTGGGACATGTGGGGCAGAGCGAGGTCATCAACTGAAAGCTAAGGGTGAGGTGTGTGTTGGAGGTTGGGACGGGGGAGAGAGAGGGGTGGAATGTTTGCAGATTGAGAAAATCATGTGAAGCCATTTTTGTGCAAAAGGGGTGAACCCAGTCTTTCTGGATTTTAGTGTTTATAGACTGTTGGGGAACCATTCTATAAAAGTAGATACAAAATTATGAATTCAAAATTAGGAATAGAGTGAGTAAACATTAGTTAAAAGTGAGAAAAAAAGCACAACACAATTATAAATTTAAACCTCATAAATACCATAAACATGATAAATTCCAGGGAAAAGTCACATTATTAATTAATTACCCAACACATTACCTTTTTTGTTTTTAAAGGTGTCTTTGGACCAAATTGTAGTGTTTTTTGTTTGTTTTTGGGGGTTTTTTGGTGAGGAAGATTGGCCCTGAGCTAACATCTGTTACCAATCTTCCTCTTTTTTTTCTTTCTTTCTTTCCCCAAAGCCCTGCTACATAGCTGCGTATTCTAGTTGTAGGTCCTTCTAGTTGTGCTGTGTGGGATGCTGCCACAGCATGGCTTGATGAGCAGTGCTAGGTCCACGCCCAGGGTCTGAATCAGTGAACCTTGTGCTGCAGAAACAGAGTGCACGACCTTAACCACTCGGCGACAGGGCCGGCCCCCCAAGTACATTACTATTTTCCCATATTTTTGTTGCACACTTTTGTGTTGCTTCTTGAGATGACAACAATGTTGTAATATTTTCTATAGAAAAGATAGAAAGATAACTCTTTCCTTTAGCCTGGATGATTGACATTTGTTTTCCATCCCTGGGAGTTTAGAAGAGTTCCTCTCAGCTTCACAACTCATGACTGGTAATGTATAAATATTTAGAATCATTGTCAAATGTGAGAAATTTCCTAGAAAGCTTTCCTCATGTATGAGCCGTAATATTTGAATAAATTTCTAGAGTGACTTTTATGGCACTGTCACTCAAAACCGTACTTCTCCACCCTTCGCTTTCTTCTCACGCCTGAGGATACAGTCATATCACAGTGTCACCTAGAGTCTGGCTCCTGTGTGTCACAACATGGGCAAGTTGACATGGATGGCTAGTAAGAACTTTACAAAGAAGTGATTGTGAACCACAGAAACAACAACCGATTAAACCCGTTAAATGTATATATAACTCAACTTCCCCTTAGGTAGACGTTAAGCATGTACAGCTACTCCATTGTCACCCAACCCCATAGTACTTAGGAGAAAGGAGAATTAGAGTGAAAAGAGAGTACTATCTTAAATTTTAATAAAAATATCTCAGTTTTGCATATTTTACAAAACCATAGGGCCATGCAAACACATTGCTAGCATTCCTTCTGGTGTCTTGGAAGTGGCCTATGTAAGTAAAGGCCCTGAAACCTAAACCTTATCACTTTCACAGTACGTCAGCCTGTGTTGTGGAGAGTGGAGGAACAAATGCCTTGGACATACTTAGTAAGATGGCGTGGACAAATAGGATGGCTGGTTCATTGAAGATTGGGTTTCCGCCTGTGATTGAGAAGAAGGGACAGAGGGTCACAGGTATTAAAGATATTTGCAAAGAACTAATGTAATGAAGCATAGCACAGCTCAGCCGCCTAAGGAGAGAAATGAAGTGGAGGGGTACTTATGAGTCAAAAAAAGGCACGTGGCAATGGATTTAATGTCACAAGGAAAGGGCTCTTGAGCAAGTAAGCTGCAAGGATACGAGTCATGGTCTTAGAGTAGGATACTTGAGTTTATGATTTTGAAAGTTGGTGGTGATGACAATTTCAATGCTGTGACTGTGTCAATGAGTGGTAAGGTAGAATGAGAAAAAAGCATACTTCAAAAAAATACCAACAACAACTAGCATTTATTGAAGACTTTCTCTGTGCCAAGTGTCCTCCTAGAGAAACCCTGAAGATGAGTTATGCAGTGAGAGACTGAATATACAAACACACAATGGTTAGAGCATATGAAAAATAGAACTCTATGGGCTGGCCTGGTGTCAAAGTAGTTAAGTTTGTGCAATCTGCTTCAGTGGCCTGGAGTTCACGGGTTCTGGTCCCAGGCGTAGAACTACAAGCCATGCTGTAGTGGCATCCCACATACAAAATAGAGGACAATTGACACAGATGTTAGCTGAGCAACAATCTTCCCCATCAAAAAGTGGAAGATTGGCAACAGATGTTAGCTCAGGGCCAATCTTCCTCATCAAAAAAACAGAACTCTAACCCACAATCTGCAGATATCAAGCCAAGGAGCCAGCCCATTATCTGCAGCAACCAGTCCAGGATGACCAAACAATAACCCTGAAATAATCAGTCCCAAACAGCCAGTACTTGATTAATAACTGCCAGTTCCCCTAGTTTTCTCCCCCATTTCCAACTTAGGACCAACCAGAGAAAGCCAAATATGTGCCTCTAACCAATCAAACAGGATGCCCCATTTCTAGTTAGCCTGCCTCCAGCTTCCCCGTGCCAATAGCCTCCAATCAGGCTATTCCTGAAGTTTTCCCTTTTTTCCACTATAGAGCTTTCCCACTCTCTGTCTGCCTGAGTCTCTGGCAAACACAAGGGATGGTGGCCAAATCCCTCGCTATGGCAAATACAGAATAAGCAGGCTGTGCTTGTTCCCATTTGGGTGGTCTTTGTTTATTTCCACAGCAGTGAAGGTTTCGGATGAGTTACTCCCCTGGATCAGTCATGGCAGAGTGAAAACAGTGGGCTAGTTTCTAAGGCCTTCAGGGAGTGAAACGCAATGCCAGGATGCGCATATAAGACACGTCAAGTAGAGAGAGCAGGTAGCGAGCCAGATGGCAGCAGCCACGGAGAACAGGGGTTTTCACTTAAGGGACGAGACAAAGAGCACGGGAACAACACAGAAATGCGGAGGAACCTCAGAGTTTGAGGGTGTGACATAGAGAGGCTTTAAAGGGAGTGACATCTTTAGAAGATGGCTAGCTTTCAGCTGAGGTCAAAGGGTTAAAGAATGCCCAGTGAACATAGAGAGGAGTGCGCTGATTCCAACTTCAGAGTTCCACACAGCCCAGGAGCGAGCTCTGGAGGAAGGGAGTAAAAGGTTGGATGAGCCCATGGATAAATCAGGAAAGAGATGTGTATTCTGGAGATAGAAGACACTGTGTGGCAGACTTGTGGTAGCGACTGAGGCAAGCAGGGATGTTAACAAAACACCACTGTCACAGCCTGTGGCAATGAGACTATCAGAGGGGTCCTGAGGGGTTCACACAGGGTTTGTCAATGGAGGACTGTGGTTACTGCTTAAACAGGTCTTGGTGGCCAGATGGTGGTCATCCCATGGTGGTTTTAACTAATATGTAATGGTTGCTTAGGACAGCTCCAGGTACAGAAATGTCTGAGAGGAAGTCTGTATAATGGGAGTGGAGCCTGGAGGGGTGACAAAACGGGATAAGAATTAGAGCAGCAAAGAGGAAGACTTGACCTCACGACACAGGTGTCTTCAAGCTGTAAAGTTGGTGGTCCTCCCTCCCTCCCTGTCTTCCTCCCTAACCTTCTTCACCTGAAACTTCCTAATGGCAAGTTTAATTATCCTTAGTTCATAGGTAGAAAAATTGACTCACAGGATTTTTGACTCACATAATTACTTGTTAATGAGGAAAAGGAGGAAGAGAAAAGCAAACTTCTAGATATCCACCTCTGCCTCTGGCAAAATGAAATGTAATCTAAGAGCTTCATTTGGGGATCGTATTTAGAGGTAGGGCCAGCTGTGATGAGTAACACCTGTGAGAGAGGCGCTGTAATAATCAGGAGTCCTCCCCACACAATCTACTGACCGGAACTCAAGGAGAGGTTTTTGGTTATTCCTCAAATCACATATTCGTTGAGAGTCCATTTGCTTTTTTACTTTTTTTTTTTTTTGTGGAAGACTAGCCCTGAGCTAACATCTGTGCCCATCTTCCTCTATTTTATATGTGGGATGCCTGCCACAGCATGGCATGATAATCAGTGTGTAGGTCCACACCTGGGATCTGAACCGGTGAACCCCGGGCCGCTGAAGCGCAATGTGTGAACTTTGCTGCTCCGGCGGGCCGGCCCCCCATTTGCTTTTTTATGTTGCCATTTGGCCTTTTGAGTATTTTAGCATACTATCCCAGAAGTATAACCATATAGCCACAAATATAACAAACGCAGTAGCCTAAAGATAATCAGCAAGTCACATTAACTATTCAGTTTTATAGCCAAACTTGGAATCCTGGTGTTCATGAATAAGAAATTTTATTTTTATTTCTCCAGAACTCGCCAATGACTAAGAGATAAGGTGGTTTCTTGGTATCTTACCATCCATTTTCCTATTTCCTCTTCAGAGTTAATCGATCCTAGTATTTAATTTTGGTGTCAGGCAAGAATAAAGCACATGGAAGCAATGCATTGGGGGTCCACAGCTGCTAGATGGGTGTAGTTCCCAGTTGTGGGAGCAAGTACACATTTACTGCTTAAAACAGAGCTCTGCATGCACCCAGACAGATGGCATCGTCACTCTCCTGGCCACAGCTGGCAGAAGCCCCAGTGACGGTCTAGCTTCCCTTCTAAATAGCGATCTATGTTTTCTTCCCCTGGATTCCTTTCCCTCCCACTTCTCTCAGCTGGGGAAGGTTTAGTTTTGAGTAATGATTATCTTTCTCACTTGTTTTTGACTTTTCTTTTCCCACTTCTCCAAATGGCCTTATCTGCCAGTCACAATTTTTGTGGTCTGCAATTCTGATCACTTCTAAATGAAACCCATGCTGGCTTTGGTAATCATAATGTCATTTACAATTTACCACTAAACACGTTTATTCGGTTAGTAGCCCAGTGGAGAAAGAGAACTCCATGTGAACTCACCGTGAAAGGCCTAATCTGATTATTTCCTCATGAAAATCCAGGCAGGGGTGCTTGTAAGAGGGGCTGAGAGAAGAGGAAA